CATATATATATATATATATATCAGAATCAGAAATACTATCCTACCAAGTTTGGCATTTCTACGATCTATGGTCTCTGACTGATACCCAGACAGTTTTACTGCAGAGAAAGAAGAAAATACAGTAAGGTTCGCATTCCTTCGGTTCTTAGACCCCTAAATATTACTGTTATATTTCACTAAATTAAAAAAATCTGTAAAAACTGCTGTACTTCCAAGTATTTAAGAAAAATTATCATAATTTAAAAAAAAAAATTTTTTACAAATTTATTAGTATTACTAAATTAAACAAAGAAATATAACAAAATAAAAAATATATATTCCTGTTGTAATATTTCACTGAAAAATACATCTGAAAAAACATTTTGTAATAAAGCATCAAGACAAATATTTTTTTTTACAGTACAACTGTTCATTTTCAAAGGTTAAACCATCAAGCTTCTCTTTTGGTGAAATGTTCTTTTTGTTGAAAAGTTTCTGAAGGTTTGCATATGTTGCTTACATTGTAAGCAACCCAAACTCAGAGACACTGAAAACACTGGATTATGAGATGCTTACATGTAAAAGTACAATGCCACACTTCACTCTGAAACATGCAGCGCAAAGAGCGCATATATTTTCTAAGTCATGAGTAATTTCAGTTTGATGTAGATTAATGGTGCGTACACCTGACATTAAAGTCCAAATCCATCACAGTAATGTCATGTTCTGTTCAGATCTGAATGGTTGTCGAGGCAACAAGTATGATTTAATAGATATATAAATAGCATCTTTTTTTTCAGGAGCCTTCTCCTTCAATGGACGCTTACTATCTTCCTGGTGCAGCTACGGATGATCTAGAAAAAGTTCAAGATACATCTTCACGCAAACGGAAAGCCTCTGGGGAAATGTCCAGATTGAAGAAGAGTCGTGTGAGATAAAACATCCAATTTCAGATGCTAATGTAATATGTATTCAAGTGATTTTATTCAATTATTACATTGTAGATAAAATATTTGTCTGTCTAGTCAATAAAAAAATTAATTCATAATGTGAAACACAGTCCAAGAAACCCTTTTGAACAGTCATGCATAAAAAAGAGAAAAGTTTTTTTTTTTTCTTAAAAAAAAAAAAGGTTAGTTCTTCAACAGAAATTGCAAAAGCCAGAATTAAACAAGCTTGCACCTGTGTTATGCTTGACATCTCTAGACTCTGATGTACTACCACTTTCTGCCCTGCGGATGGAGTGTTTTTCACATAATGGAAGGGTAGTAAGAATCATATGTGTCCACAGCAACCGTTCTGTTACTAATGGCAACAAGTGCACAGATTTTTTTGATGCTGCTGCTGTCTGGTATATGTCATTGAACCAATTCATATTGTTATTACTTGGTCAAATACACATCACTTGTTTGATCTCTTTCAGTACTCTTCCTATAGTAACAATAGGAATAATAACATTTTTTATGTAATTATAAACAACTTTAAACCAACCTTTTTTGTAGTGCCATCTCTTCCTATACTACACAATTAAGCTCATTTTAATGGATGTCATTTTTAGTGTTTAAACTCACTGCCCTCTACTAGTCTTTGCCCCCCTTTTTTCACTCAAAATAACAGATTACTATATTTTTTTTTACATTGAAGTATGCATGGAATCCCTTGATGCCTGTCGCACACATTCACTTTGTGCCATAACTGGATTGGTGACCGTGATTTCACCAAGTACAACATGTTCCTGGATCAACATCCTTGTTGATCCTGGGATAACTTTTCAGGAAATATCTGTTTTTGGCTTACGATCAGGGTTAAGTGCTTCTACACCCTTGTTAATCAGCTATCATTTCACACTGATTTTAGGAATAAATTATGGGTAGGGATTGGGTTTAGTCAATATTTTTGGACAGTAATGTTGATCCAGGATCAACAAAAGATGTTGATCCAGGAACATGTCTTACTTGGCAAAATCACGGCGACCCCCATTTCACTTATAGGTGAGTCTCAAAGCCTCCAGATTACGAAGTTGGATCCCCCATTTGTCACAGTGGGAGGGAGGTGATAGGGTAGGGGGAAGGGAAAAGGGCTGTTCTGAATGACTGTTTCACTTACCGAACACAAATCTGCTATCACCCTTAATGTCATTGCACTCTGGGTTTCTGCCTTTGTGTTTCTTTGCTTCGGTCCTGAATGAGTAATTAAATGCAGTAAATTAACAACTTCTTTGCCTAAGCTATACAGCACTGTAACTGCTGGTGCAGATAAGGCCTCTTTGCTCCTTACCTGTCTGCAAGACTGATATTGGGACGAGTACAACCTAATGAGAATAAGCCACCCCGCCAGGACCCCAGTCTGATAGCAATGCCATGGTGCTGTGGTAATAAGAGGTAGCATGTTGTGAGGGCTAGGACCAATGCAGGCCATGGAAAATTTCCATATTTCTGTAATGTATGAATAGGGGTTATGCCACAGCAATTGTATAGAAGTGGAACAGAATGTCCCTTTGTTCCCTTCTAAAATCAGGACACAGTCTATTGTTGCTCAAGACAATGTTAAAAATTTTCTTTACTCATTCAATAAAAAGGCAAATTGGTAATCAAATGTACAGAATTTAGTGAAGGAGGCCATTAGATTGTCTTTTTTCTGATTTCTGTTCGTTTGGACAGCCCATTTCAATGAACAAGTTCAAAACCAGATTCATTGATTCTGTTTTACATCTTACATCTTGATTCACAAATTGGTGTTTCTTGCATTTTTTTGTTTTTTTTCTGGTAAGTTTCATTTGTAAGGCTATGTATTATAAGTCCATGTGTACAAATTCAATTTGTTGCAGCCAGCCGTATTCAGCTCATAAAATATTACGTCATTTATGACCTAAATTTAAATGGTTTAAACATTTAAAGCATTATTTACTGATTTTTTTTTATTTTTATAGAAATGTTAATAAAACTTTAATCTCTAATCATAGCGAGTCGTGAATATTCGATTGAAATTAATCTTGGTTCAACGAATCAGTGAGTACTTGATTCAAAAAAACAGCTCAGACGATTCTTTCCGATTCCTAAACCGCTTGCATGATGTTATAGATCTATAATATAAAGTAATATAAAGCTGTCTTTGAGATAATCGGGGTAGCCTATTTGTCATTTTTAATATTTCACAAGCATCTGTGAGGTAGTAAGGGCATTGAATGTGTTGTATAGCCTAATTTTTTTATATCGCGCACAGCAGTCTGTTCACCTATTTAATTTTAAAAATGAAAAATGTCTATTCCTGTTTCTTATACGTTTCTATTATAAAACGTTTCTCATTTCTAGACGTTTCTATTCCATTCCTATTTCTATTCCCTGATTTGTGTTTAAGCATGTTGTTGTGGTCCTCAGGGCGAACCTGTCATCCTATTGCAGGATAATTCAACACCGGAGACATAACCTTCTCAGCCCAGTTCCCCAAATTCTCGCTTGCTGTTGCAGCAATATGTGCTCATTATTATTCTGTGGCTGTATACAGTCTGAAAGAGCCGGGGTGACCGATACGCACCATCATTAGCCGTCTGAAATCACTCAGCCTCCACCTGCTGCTTGTTGCCTTCAGATGACCAGTTGATGATCTAAACAGGCTATCCTGTGTGTTTGGGGAGGTGGACTGGATTCAGAGATTTGCTGGATGGAGGCAGGGGAGGGCTGAACTGACCGCTCCGCTCATGTGACAGTCTGATACCGTGCGGGAAACGTGCGCTTTGCGCGTTTCACTTGGACCGGTGACGCGGCGGCTTTGATGAGCCGGTTCTGCTGGGAGGAAGAGGTTTCGGACTAGTCCCCATATAGGTAAACCTAAACACCTTATTCTCCAGGTTATTTACAGCTTGTCGCTGTAGGTTATTGTCTTGCGTACATTGTGACATCGTTAATTACGCATTGGTACTGTAACTTACTCGATTTTGGAGCTCCGATGACACAAGTCTCTTAAAATCATTTCTGAATATGGCATTATTTTTGAATGATTTTTGGGCTTTCCCCAGCCGGCATTACACTCCCATGAAAGATGCTGTAATCGGATTGTTCAGTGTCTTGATGCGTAACTGATATTCTACAGAGTCATGGATAGGGATGCGAATCATACGGAATCGATTCTGGTTCCCTAACAGTTCCATGAACGATTCACTAGTAATTTGGAAAGAGAAATATTTAGAGAAAATGGGATTCGTGTTTTATTTACTGCCCCCAGCAGTCTCAAAGGATGGGACATTTTCAGATTTCATCATACAAAGCTATAACAAATTAATTTTCTACAATTAGTAACATTTCAAAATGTTCACAGAAACCTAAGAAAATGCCATTTTTATTGCAATTCTTTAAAAACAGACCATGACAGGCTATAGGTATTCATTAAACTACTTAACAAAATGTGGTAGCGTATTTAATTCATAATTTCCCTGTTGAAAAAAAACTATAGAAATCATCACAGAAATGTCTAATGGTTCCCACTTTTAACCATTAAAACCATTAAAAATGGTTTTCTGTTGTGTGTTTTGGGACATAGCTTCCATTAAGATTTATTGGTTTTAACAAGCCACCAATAGAAGGCGACCAATTACCAGTAGTAACCCAAAGGGTCAGTTACAGTTTCCATTAAAACCAATACAAGTCCCATTATAACCAGTAAAACCATTACACATTTTGTGATGGTGTCAATTGTTTTGTTTTGTTTTTCAGCAGGGTTGTTAATTTTATGAAAACAAAACTCAATGTGTTGCTATAGCCTTTTGGTTTGAGTCTTACAAGCCCTATAAGCCTACATTTTAACAGGAATAACTTGCGGTTCGAATTAATTCAGTAACCGCTCCGACTGATTCATAAATGTCATTCAGTGAAATTCTGCTCATGAGTCATTCGCTGAATCATGAAAATCGCAGTAACACAAATTATTATTTAGTAATGTAGCTATTTATTTTAATACACTAAAATACGTATTCACAAGGTTCATTCATTTGGAAAACGGACTAGGCCTACAGTCTCGTATGTTTTTGATTCACTAAAAGTCACCAGCTCAAAAGAGTCATTCGTGTAGGAATCGGACCACACTGGTGGGGCTGTAGATTCAGTAGAGGTGTTGATGTGCTGAATAGAAGTGCAGGAGTATTTTAGTCCGGTTTTCTGTCCGCAACGACGGAAAATACACACAAACGTCATTAAAATCGGTCGGTTCCGCTATTGTCTAAACAGAACCGAACAAGAACTAGTTAGGTATTGATCCCAACCCTTGTCATAGAGTATAACGGCTCACTCATAAACTAACATTTCAATTGCTCTCTCTCTCTCTCTCTCTCTCTCTCTCTCTCTCTCTCT